TGCCACACCCGGCCGAGAAGAAACACTTCTCTCTCGACGGCTATGCTCCGCTCTCTCCCTTGGAGGAGCCCTTTGCCTCAAGGGGCGTGGTGACCGGCGACGAGCTTCTCTTCGAAGGGGGCGGTTCGATGATGGGTTGTGATGAGGCGATTGGTGGCGAGCGTATCTTCGAGGCTCACGATCTGAGGATGCGCTACACCGAGGCGAGTGGTGGTGAGCCTCTTCGAGGAGCTCGTTCAGAGAAATAACTTTGGCTGTCGAGCGATACTCTTTTAAGGCTTGTAATTCCTCTGCAGTCATCTAAATGACCGGCGCTGAAGATCCCGCAAGGTTGGTCGCTCCCGTCGTTCTCTCCCTTCGAGGCGGCTCTATGACTCCAGCGTTACCTTGAAGTGGTTGGTTGAGATCGCCTTGACCACCTTCGTTGGCCGCTCCCGTAGTTCTTTTGGTTCGAGGCGGCTCTAAGACTCTACCGCTCTTCGGGGCGGCTCTGAGACTCCGTCGCTTCCTCGAGGCGGCTCTAAGACTCCTCCGCTCTTTGAGGCGGCTCTGAGACTCCGTCGCTTCCTCGAGGCGGCTCTAAGACTCTTCCGCTCTTCGGGGCGGCTCTGAGACTCCGTCGCTTCCTCGAGGCGGGCGGCTCTAAGACTCTTCCGCTCTTCGGGGCGGCTCTGAGACTCCGTCGCTTCCTCGGGGCGGGCGGCTCTAAGACTCTTCCGCTCTTCGGGGCGGCTCTGAGACTCCGTCGCTTCATCGAGGCGGCCCTAAGACTCATCCGCTCTTCGAGGCGGCTCTGAGACTCCGTCGCTTCCTCGAGGCGGGCGGCTCTAAGACTCTTCCGCTCTTCGGGGCGAGTGGTTGGGATCGCCTTGATCCTCTTCGTCATGACACGTGATCTAGTTTGCCTTCCCACAGACGGCGCCAAAATGATGCTGCTCCAAAAATGATGGGTCAGCCCAATGGTCTTGAAGCCCACAGGTCTTCTAAGTCCGGGAATCTTCAAGCCCAATATCGGGAATGCCGAGAGTCCTTGCCACGCGTCCGAGGTAGTCGAAGGGATCGCTCCACTCGTTAACCTACAAAACAGTTGAAAACACTAGGTGACACGCCGGGGGTGGCCCGGCGATTGTCCTCCGACGCTCAAGTCAGAAAACTATCACAATATAAGCAAATAATATTAGTTAATTGCCTAAATAGTGCTTACCTTATTATATGAGTTAAATCACATATTTATAGGTGATGGAATATGGAGACTTCTTGTAGAAATCCGATGTGGGACAATATGTTATAACTAAAATCCTATTGAATTTTAGTAGATGTGATAATTGGGCTTTTATTATTAATTGGATTGATTTGGCCTTTTAGGCCAAAAACCCAATTAAGAATTAGACACATCAGTAATATAAATAACCAAACATATTATTAACTAATTAATTAGTTAATCAGTAGGGAATTAATTCAATCTAATCTAATCCAATATATGTAAGCAAACGAGGCCTTGTTGGAATTTGGAACCAAATTTCATACTCCTTCTTTTCCTGTATAATAGTCATTTTTCACATTTGCACACATTTTAAGAAACTTAATAAATATGTCTTGATTTTAAGAAAACAGATATTGTTAGACCAAAATACTCTTATTTATTAATTTATGCAGAAAGAGTGTTGAAAAGTTAATAAGGGCATAATTGAAAAATATGTAATTAATGTAGTGTTGGAATTTAAAGTGACAGATAATGTGGAACAAAAAATTCTTAAAAGTGACAGATATTATGGAACAAATAGAGTAGTTTATAGAAATAAATATATATGTTTAAGTTTTGTTTCATTGCACTAAGAAATAGTTTACCTATGTAGCAAGTACACGAAAAACTGAGATACCGAAATTTTAAAGAAACGTATAAATATAAAAGTATATGGGTATATTTATCAATATGTCATATAAATATATATAAATTTATTTATGTCAAAAAAAATTTTTATATATATATAGATACAAATATATTCAACACAAATTTTATCATCAACTATCAAACAAAAATATTCAAAAATTCGCTAATCAAATATGTTTTAATTTTTCATAAATTGCAAAATAATCGATAAAGTATTCTACGTATGTTCTTGAGTGTGAGATTAAAAAAATGTCCCGAACACGAAAATATTAAAAAGCTGAAGCTTGCGTGCTAAGATAATTATTAATTTGAATTTTATGCCCAAAGTGAATGCACAATACAACATACGTATCTTAGTTAAAAATAAATATAGTGACGTAAGCAGTGAGCAAAGATTCGTCACAACTTTTCTGCTCTTACGTGAGAAAATGTGTACCTGTTGGCTCTTTGCAAGTCCGTCTTTCAAGTACAGTCCGACACGTGTTTTGAAACCAGAGAGAGAAATTGCTTCTTTATACCTAATTTACCCATGCTCATCTTTGACCTTTGTAAATTGGACTTTTCACAGCTTTGAAAATTAAAAAAAAAAATACAAATTAAATCAAATGTAATTTGAGCTGCATCATAAGAAGTATACTTTAACTTAACATACTAAAAAACATGATATTCCGAATATATTTATAATAAATACAATTTAAAAAATATTGTAAATTTTTCATAATTGATCCGGGCCCGGATTGCAAAAGCCCACAATGAAAAGAGCCCAACAAGGCCAAGGAAAAAGCCCACATGACAAACCTGAAGAGTGCCAGACCAATAAATAAGAGCATCCACAATAGCCTCTTTAAACATATTATTTGTGTCAGATTTTAGGCCATCTCCAAATTTTGGAGAGGTTGGGCTGCTGTAGTGGGAAACTTTAGGCCTCTCTATGGCTCCCCAAATTTTGAAAAGTTCTAACTAGCTCCCCACGGATATGAGTCACTTAACAAAGCATTGTGGGGTCATATGATTTATTTATTATTTTCCTACGTTTTGCACTGTTACTTGAATTCCATTTTTTTCTTTGTTTTTATAATTTATGAAATCATTTATAGCTATTATTTTGTAAATAAAAAATATGTATTACATCCATAAATTTCTTTTCTATTTTACTTTACTATAAAATAATTTTATGTTATTTGTATAATATTTATTTTATTAATTTATAATGCTTATATTTAAGAAGGTATTAAAAGAAATAATGAATTAAAAGATGCATCAAGTCAGTTTGACGAAGAAGTCATTAGAAAAAATACAATAGAAATGAAAAAGTTAGAAGCCAAAATGGAAGCAAAAAACATGAGGCTACTAGCTCAAAAGGAAACTGAACAGATGAGAAACAATAAATCGTGCACGAAAAAATAAGTCAGCATTTATAGATCCTAAGGGTAAATTACAAACACCCCCCGAGGTATGGTCAAATTACAAAAACACCCCTATTGTTTGGATAATTACAAGCACCCCCTCAACTCCTCAAATTTAGTGGAATCTTCGAGATTATATGGAATATTATCACTTTGGTACCCATTTTATCCCATTCAAACTCTACATTATGAAGCAAGATGATCATAATATGTGATTTTTAGCTTGTATATATCAGTTTGTAGTGCATCGAAAACTGTATTTTTACACAAAACGAGTAGAAAATATAGCACATTTCACGGAATCTAGATGATTATGTTGAATTTGGCACCATAAGGGTGGAGGTGTAAGAAAAAATCATAGTTGAGGGGTAGATGTAATTATCCAAACAAGAGGGGGGTTTTTGTAATTTAACCATACCTCAGGGGGTGTTTGTAATTTACCCTAGATCCTAATAACTAGTTTATTGGCTTTCTCGTAAATCTTTATTTATGTTTTGTATGCCTATAGTTGGAGAGGTCTTCCAACAATTATCCGAACTCATTTATAATATTTTATGTTATTAATATTTATGTTAATTTATGTTATTTGTAAATATTTTAAATTTGTAAATACAATTTATATAATTATAGAAATAGACAAAAACAAATAATTCACAACTTAATTTAATATTATATATAATAAATTAAAATAGAATCATTCAAAATTTAATATAAATTGATGATAGTTATATATTTTACCAAATAAATATAAAAAAATTAAAAATATAGTTTTATAATTATTATATTTATAATGAATATTTTATTAGAAATTAATATTTGGGGACATTGTAGGGAGGACCAAAAACCAACCCATTGGAGTAGATTGTAATTTGGGGAGTGTTTAAGTGGGACCCATTGTATAAAGAGGTGTTTAAATGTGTAGGTGGCATGTGGGATCCACATTTTGAGGAGGGGTTTTAGGGATGAGCATTGTGAATGCTCTAAAGAAGCATGTCACGAAATAAACATATGAGTCAAATCGTGTCTGGATGAAAGAGAAAATTTAGAAGTTGTTTTGAAATATTTTTTTTTTAAAGGTAAATAAACACGAATTCGTTTTTGAGAAAGAATAAAAATTAGATGAAAATCGAACCAAACATTGTCGTTGTCTCTAGACACTAAGCAAGCTTTAGATGAAGGTCACGGCATGTGTCACTACGCTACTTTTTTTCTTGAAGGTATAGAAAAGCACGGTGATAACCAAATTATCTGTTAAAATCGTCTGACTTAGTTGTTAGAATGCTAACCCCGACATTAAATTCGGTCGTCTTTCTTTTTCAGATGCTCTCCAGATCTCATCCTTCACGGATCCTGACAGCGTCATCCATCGACATTGTGGAACCTCGTCAAAAAGAGATTCATTTTCATAAATTGGCATCTCATACATATTGAAGGAAAATTTTCGAAAAAATAGGAAGAAATAATTTTCGAAAATTGAGAATGGAAAATTTTATTCGAAAGTTAGATAATTTCGACTTGAAATTGGCGGGTTTAGTAATATCGTTCTAATTTCCATTTCCAATAAGGTTGCGAAAAGAAAAAAAAAAATACTATTTATCAAATGACACGTGGCCCGATAATTATTCTGGGCTACTAACTGGGGTTATTATACCATAGTAGTGGACTATTTCGAAGCCCATTTAGACACTCAATAGAGACGGTTATTAGTGCTGGGCGAGTCTATCACACGCGCTGTTCATCTCTTTCACCGTACACACTTAGCTCTATATGTATATATGTACGTATATGCGTATGAGCTCAATACTTTCGCCATTTTAGAATATTTTTAGAGTGCATTCTGCTGTTGAAGGTGCTGTTCGAGACTCGATCGGAAAATCGCCGGAAAGGCGCGTGGTACACGGAAAATTTCCCGGATACAAATGGAGTCCTTCTTCACCGCCGTCGAGCTGAATCACATCGTTCTCCGTTATCTCCTCGAATCAGGTTCTTCGTCTACTTGTTTCTCTGTGTCTCTATATGCGTGTATCTCTGCTGACTTAGAGAGTAAAAATCACTCGTTATTCTGAATAATGTGTACGCTTTTTGTGTGATGTTGAATTTTTGAGTTCCCTTTTCGTTTTGTGAAATTGAAATTGATGGAAAAATCTCCGTAATCTTGGGTTTTCTTGTTGAGTAATGCAAATTAGTGATTTATTTGGGGCTTTTGGCTGATTTTTCATTTGAATTGTAACTGATATTGTTTTGGGGGGAAAATTGTCCAGTTCTTTGGAATTCAATCGGAGGTGCTGTTATTCGGAATCTAGCGGAAACTTGTTTTGAAATCACTCGTTATTCTGAATAATGTATATAAATTTTCATCCTGTTCGATTTTTTACTTCCGGTTTTCATTTGCGAAATACAAATTGCTGGAAGATCTTTGTAATCGTTGTTGATTTATCTGGGACCTTTTTGATGTTCTTCATTTGAATTGTAATTGATATTGTTTTGGGGGGAAATTCTCCTTTGAAATACAACTAGAGGTGTTTTCGCGTGTTTTGCCGTAGTGTTGATGCTATAATTTGTATATGGATTCGCTGGAGTATTTGTATGTGCTTATTGAGTGAACTTTCTTGATTGTTGTTTTGTAGGTTTTGTGCACGCGGCTTTCAATTTGAGTTACGAGGCTCGTATCAACAAGTCTCTAATCGATGGCATTTCGATGATACCACTTGGAACACTGTTCACCCTCATGCGCAGAGGACTTCTGAGCATTGAGATGGAAGCAAATTTGACTGACGTTAGCAACTGTGTAGAAATGCTCTTTCGTTGATCAATTTTTTTTTTCTTTTTTTTGTTTTTTCGTACATGCTGATTAGGATGACAGTGATGTGGATGAAAACTATGTGCTACTGAAGCCAATGGATCTCATCACAAAAAAACTGGATGAATTGAAGGCAATTGTGAAGAATGAGAGGAGAAGCAACCAAGTTGCTGGGGAGAGGCAGGTGAACAGAGAGGCCGAAAGAGTTCGCCCCACTGGGATAGATACGGCAACAAGCGACCGCCCGAAATGGAATTGGGGCAAAAAAGGTAGAAGAGGAGGTCGAAGACGGAGTTGAAAGCAGCAAGAAATTAGAAAAAAGAAAAAAACAGAGGAATTTTTACTTATCAAGAACTCAAAATTCTCTGAGGTAAATAATACTTTTTGGCAACACAAGGGATGCTAAGTATAGTTTTTTTTTTTTTTTTTTGCTTGCATAATAGCCTTTTCTAGCTAGTATTGAATATTGATCATGGAAAAATAGATGTAGTAATCGATGTATATAATGTTTCCTGATTAGAACCGAACCGATACAGGCGTATTATTTGCTTACACTTTAGTTCCTCGATTGGCATTTCTAATAATTGATATCTAAAACTAAACGACGTAGTTATGCATGTAACTTGTTGCTGAAAAAAAAAACCCGAAATGAAAACGAGCTAGGATGCTGCTGTTGGTATTGAAATGAATCGAGCTGAATTAGATCTTACTTGTAACAATTGCTTATATAAGTTTGCAAGGTTTACATTGATCAATTCAATCTATCTAAATACAAGTAAAAAAATTCATATCTAGAATTACTTCAAACAAACTGAAGGAAGTCACATTAATTTCACCCTGCAACTGAATGTTTTTTTTTTCTATTTTTTCTTATTCATTACAAGAAATCTGCCCATTCTTTTTCCTCCTTAATCCTCTCCAAAACCCCATCAAGAGCAATATCAAAAGAATCTTTGAAACTCTTGATCCCTCCATTCGGTTTCGCATAAATAATCCTCGGAATGTTCTCTATCAATTTCTCTCTCTTCTTCCGAATCTCCTCTTTGCTATACCTCATCAAGAATTCCTTCACCGAAGAAGTCCCGTTCTTCAAATCGTCATGGTCAATCAAAACAGAGTAACTCTCCGGTTCACCGGGCAAGAACCACTCGTACTGCTCGTATGCCGCCGCCGAAGTCTTCCAGAAGAAAACCGGCACAGCTCCGGCGACCATACATTCGAAAACCGACTTGCTCGTGTAACTCTCCATCTTTGGCTGCAAACAGAACTCCGATTCCAAAAGTGGGTTTAAACTCACCGACGAGTTGGTGGGGCAATCAGATACTGCGCAGTCCACGTGGTGGCAGGTGGGCTCTTCTTTACAGTAGTCCATTAGGAGCTTGCGTAGATCGTTGTCGGCCCAGTTCCGATTTGTGTCGATGAAGGTGAAGAGGGTTTGACGATTGTGGTCGCGGATGTAGTTCTGCCATTGGAGGAGGTTTTCTTTTGTTTTGGGGTGGAATCCGGTGGGGTAGGGTACACTGACGTCCATTTCGTCGCCGGGGAATTTCTCGACGATGAAGCGGGCGATTTTTTGCATTGGGGCCATGTTGAGGTAACTGGAGCCCCATTTTTGGCCCGGGTCGGTCAATCGCCGGAAGTCCCAGGTGATTCTGCCGACCGTGGTGAAGTGGTCGGAGCCGTTGAAGTTTTTCCAGTGCTTCTGGTTCTTGACCCACCGGAGCATTGTCTTGCAGTGGCGGTCGCGGGCGGCGGTGTCGTTCGTCCAGAGGTGTTTGCCGACGGCGAGTCCGGCGTAGAACGGGATGTAGAACGCTGTGGCGGATTCTGGATCGAGGGTTCGGCATTTGTGCTTGAGGATGCGGTGGTGGAAAATAACCTCGAGGGTGAACTGATTCGTGTGGTACCACGATTTGTAGAGATCACCGGGGAGGAGACGGCGGAGCTCGGAGGCGGCGCGGCCGTAGCCGTGGTTGGAAATAATCCCGCATTCCCAGTTCCACCGATCTAGATCAGTGCAGTTCTGGAGCACCAAATCCCTGTTGAATACGGAAGGAAGCTCGTAGGCGTAAACCCTACCGGAGGGGCAGTCGTCGTTGAATCGAGCCGGGGGGGGTTCGGGTTGGGTGGCGTTCGTTGCAGATTTTGAATTGGATGCCGATACGACGTCGTCGTGGGGTGGGATGAAGCGGAGGGGGGTTGGGACAGGAACGGCGGCGACGGCAGCCGCGGCGGTGGCGGTCCGGTCAGGGAAACAAGGCGGAGGAGTACGGGCAATTGAAATAATTAGGGCTTGAATCCAGAGGAAAGCGATGAAGAGCCAGAAGCGAGGGTGTGAAGAAAGGTGAGATCTAATTGAGTTGAGAGTGTTCTTAACGCAGTTGGAGGATTTGGCCGGTTTCTTCTGAGGTTGGACTTCCGGTGAGTACGCCGGAACCATTATTTAACTATTAACAGTGGAATTGAAAACGACGCCGTAGAGAGGAGTGAGAAAGTGAAGCGAAGTGAGAGAAAGGTACTAATGTAGAGAGAGAGAGAGTCGTTGTAGTTAACGGAGTGATGATTAAAAGAGGCGAAACGATCACCGACAAAAGACAACGTGGGATGTTTTCATTATTCAATTTCTGTACTGATTATTTTTTATTGGTGGGGGGAATTGAATTTGGAAGCCCTAGAAGAAGATTTGCAGAGATGGCGCCGACGATTTCTTAAATATGATCAATTGGGTAAAGTGAAAGTGTTTTATAAGTTGGGGGGTTTATGAGTAATTTAGTGATATTTGTGAGTGATTTGTGTAATTAATTGAATCATGGATTATAATATCCTACTTTGATTTCAGCAGTTGGATTTGCTTTAAATAAAGTAAAAGAGGGAAAAGAAGATAAAGGAGCGCAAGAAGGTTACTTGTGGTAAGTTGTAATTTGTAAATATATCTACTTTATTTGCGAATATTTAATTGTATACATTGGTGGATATTTAATTGATAATTTCTGAAATATATTTTTATCCCAATTTCCAAACATTACTGCTCGTGAGTTCGGTGAGCCGGCTTGATAAAAGCTCGAACTCGAATTCGAAATTTTTGAGCTCGAGCTCTCTGATGAGTCGAGTCCGAACTCATTCTTATTTGTTCATGAGCTCGCGAGCTGGCTCACGAGCTTCTTATTATTTATTTTTTTATTTTTAATTTATTTTTTATTTTTATTTATATATAATTAATATAGAATAAATAATAAATTCATAAAATTAATTAAAATAAGTTGTAGGTTATTTTTTATTTTGATTTTTGAATTATAATTTATAAAAAAAAAAATTCTATATATTAATAAAAATAAAAAAGACACAAAATGCTGGTACTCGAGCTCGAACCCAGAAATAAATATACTCGAAGAGTTCGAGCTCGTCAAAATGGTTTTGAGTTTGAACTCGAGCTCGCCAGCCAATCTCGGCTCGTTATACCCCTAGTTGTGGCGTTTCTGATTTTTTGGGGTGTGGAATGGAATCATCAATGATATTCATATTTATAATATTAATATTACTATTCATTTTATATTTCCCATATGAAGAAGAACTGAAAAATGCATAACTTCCTAGAAAAAAACAAGATGTATAAGTATATAACTAAGGCTTTGTTTGACAGAATTAGGCATTGAACACTGAATGCTGAATACAATACTGAATAGTTAGGGTCAATATTTGAATGTTGAATGCTGAACGTTTAAGTTTGTTTGATACTTAAAAATATATTATTTTTGAATGATATAATTTTACTATATTAACCACATAATAGTTGAATATAAAATGTATTTACAAATAAAACTATCAATTATATATAAACAGAAAGTTATAACTACGACCTTTTTAATTGTTATTTTTTATATTTCTTTAGATAAAAATAAATATTATAAATCTAAATTTTTTTATCAAAAATATATAAAAGTAAAAGTTACATTTTAAATTTTCACTAAAATACCTAGTCGACTAAAATAAAGTGAGAAAATTAAATTATGAAATAGAATAAGAAGTTTTAAAAAAAATATGCATAACAATGAAGGAATCATCCATTGTTATCAAACATAATACGGTAGTCATGTACTAAAGTTAAAATTAGTTGAAGATAAAAAAAAATTAGTAAATTATATTGAGAACAGAATCCCAAGGTCCAACCTCACATACTAATTTCAGTATATATAAAATCTGAAAATAAAAATAAATGCTTATTCAAAATAAAAAAGTTAGTGGTTTTCTTCTTTTTTTTTTAGATAATATAATATTATATGTTTTTGTAGGGATAAATTGGTCTACGTGCTGTTCAGCTTTACCTCCGGATGATTCAGCCAAATATTTTGGACTGATTCGGTAAGCACTTAACCACTTGTTCAGAAGCACGCTTAATAAGATGAGCACTGACCGAGTAAGAGATTAACGTTATTCAC